CAGCAGATTTCCCCCGTGTGATAACGTCCTATGTTTGTGTGCTCAGGGGTCTTTTCACACTGTACCATTATAGTGCTATGATTCCACTTTAATGTTTGCCAATGCAACATTATAAGGCAACCTGGGATTTACAGTTTATGGAAGGGGGTTTAGAATTCCTAGCCAGAGAGCTCCTCTAGTGCTTCTCCAGTCCCGGGATTGCATAGGATGTTGCAATTGGATTTAAAGGCCAACCGTGGTGCTACAATTGTGTAATATGAAAGGATCCGGCATTACTTTTGGCTCTAGCCCTGCCCAGGGCTGGCATGCAGCCCTGGACAAATTACCAAGGAAAGATGTCATTTCAGAGGAAAAAAGTGCATAGCAAAATGGAAAACTGAGTCAGAACGTTAAGTCTATGAACTCCTGTATTGTAACTGTAACAGTTGGGATTCAGGCAAGATCCCCCCTCTTTTTTAAAAAAAAAAACTGTATGCTTCCCAAAGGGTCTGCCACTCAGGTATTAACCCAGACTGACCCTGCTTCACTTCTAAAATCAGAAAAGATCAGGCATGTTTAGGAGTAGTCTCTTTCCCTGAATTGCTCCCAGACTATAAAGGACCAAACCCTTCAGTGTTTGGGAAGGTGCTACAAGAACATACATTGGCCAGAATGGTTGCTCTTCTCTGAAACTTTTCCGCCTTTGTGGTGCCCTTTCTCTGAGACCGGCTGACCGGAATTGCACATAGTATTGGAAATGTAGCCAAATCATAAAAAGAGAGTTCCAAGCAGGAATCTGGCAAGTTATGAAAGTAAAGATTAAAGCGCAGCAATCCATATGGAGAAGAAACATCCTTAGCACTTGTTGGCAGGGGATCAGAAGCACATTTAGTGACAGCTGCCAATTGGAAACCATTGTATTCCGCTGAGTTCATACTGGACCCAAGCTTGTTGGCAAGCTCCAAGTACTTTCCCAGTGAGGCTGAGAGGGAAAGTACTCTCTTCAGGCAATACCTCAGCATATTTAGGATCTCCTCAGTTTTACCCAGGCTTTGGAAATACTACTACTTTGGTAGATGCAGTCCCCAAAACTTTTCTAAGTTCTGACTTCACCCAACATGACATCACAACTGATTGATAAAACAGGACCCATATTCTTGTAAACATATGTCTCTAAAACATCTATTCTCTTCACCCAAAGGCACCCATGATCCTACCATGAGGCAGAGTGAGACAACTGCCTCAGGGAACAGATTTTGGATGTGTCATGGAAGGGCAACAAATTTAATTTGCTATTATTGAATTTTTACTGCCAAGGCTGTGGGAGATGCATTTGTGGGTTTTTCTGCCTTAGGTGTCCAAATGGGTGGCTTTGGCTACTATGGATCTTCTCTTGGGTGGTGGCAACAGCAATGATGCCATTGCTACTCTGCGTTAGACAACAAAATATCCTGGGACAGCCCTTCCTATTAGATGTAAAGGTTTTATTTTCTGAACAATAGTGACATAATAACACAGGAATGGTAGACTATGGGGCATTGCAGACCGGCCCAAAGGGCCAGCCTGGGGGTGGAGTTGGGGCGGAGCAGCCACACATCGGCCACCCCAACCCCAGCCCAACGCTGTCCTGACATCCTCTCGGTGCAGCGTGCAGACATGCTGCACTGAAAGGGCGCGGAAGAGCTGCTGAGCTGGCTTTTAGGGTGGCCTTTTGCCCCTCTGCATTGACCCCCTATAGGGGCTAAATGGATGGGCAAAAAGAAGTGCTTTCAGGCTGGGTTGAAGGTGTGGCATTTAGATGATGCACGACTTAAAGCCCTCAGGAATTTTCCCGCTTCTTCCTGAAAAGTGTGCACCTTCGCAAGGGTGTATAAATGCACCAACACCAGTGTGGATCTAAAGAGGTGCTCTTTCCAAACCTAACCCTAATTGTGCATGTAAATGCCCCATCGCAGGAGTGCATTTAAAAGAGACAGAGCTAGCATACACAAGTGGTGGGAGTGGCAATGCCCAAAAGAGAAACCATAAAACCTCTCATGGAGATGAGTACAATATACCCAAAACAAACAGTCGAAGAGGGAGGGGGCATAGGTTGAAGGGGTGGTGGTGAAGGGAGGCATGATTGTACCTTGCTGGCATCTGCATGGGCACACCTCTGCTCTGATGCCTTGTTCCAGTGAAGCGTTGCACATGCAAATGTGTGCAGGTTCGCAGGGATGGCCATGCAATGGGATGGCAGTCGCTGGCAGTTCACTCCTGTGAAGGTGCACAGGGAAGGTGGAGGGGACAGTAAAAAAAAAAAAAGTACTCAGTGGTGCAGCTTGAAGCCATGCTCTGTGGTCATTGGTCATGACATGCACACTCCAGCTGACCTGGGAGCTGGTGGTGGGGTTGGTGGGGTTTCAATGTGGCTTCAGAAAAGGCAGCTTCAAGCCAACTTTTTCCTGCCCATCTGTTTTGCCCCTATATTCTTGGAGCATAACTTTTTGTGTATCCAGCTACAGGAACATATCTGGACCCTTCTGCTCCTTCCCTCCTCTTGCCCCTACACAGGCTGTGCAGTTGAAGAGGAAGATGAGTCCTGGGGGAGAGGAAAGGGGAGACAGACAAAAGCTCAGCTTGGTCAGAACTTTGCATTCTGTTTCACAAGAAGGTTCATAGCCAGTGGCTCTGAGGCCAAAACTGTATGGGAAGTTGTAGTTGTGAGATCTAAACTACATGTGATGGTGATTGATTTATGCTGGTTAAACACAGGCTTATCTCAGCCACAAGAAGAAGAGGATAAACAAAACAGGGGGAAAGGTACACAGGCCTATCCTCCCATTCCTATAAGCAACCTTACCCCTCACTGTGCCCCATCCAATACCTCAACCAGGTTCCAATGCCAGAAAATGAACATGGATGGAAGAATATGCTAAGGGAGATGGGCTGCAGGAACATAGGGCAGAGCTGGGAATCTTGAGCCTCTCCAAGTATTACTGCTACTGTTACTACTACAGTCCTGTGAGTCAAGGTGGCTTATAAACGCTGAAACGGAGACAGCTAACATTATTAAAAGCTCTTTTCCAATGAGGAATCCTCCTCCAAGGTCTGCTAAAACGAAACAAAAAAGGTCTTCATCTGCCTACAAAAGGAGAACCAGGAGGACACCATTCTAGACTCTCCAGGAAGGGAGTTCCAGACTTTTGGAGCAGTCACCAAGAAGGTTCTCTCCTGTGTTCTCACCAGAGATACCTGTGAGGATGGTGGGACAGAGAGATGGGCCTCTGCAAAAGATCTCAAGCTATGGGCATGCTTATCTGTGGAGATACAGTCTGTCAGATAGCTCTTAATGGATTGCAAGTCCCAGCAGCCCCAGCCAGCATAGTCAATAGTAAGTTGCAGCCCAATAACATTTAAGGGTTGCATGATTCTTTCTCCTGACATAGGGAAAGGGCACTGCTTCCCTCACTAACACTCTGCTTGGCTGTTCTCCATCCAGCAGAGCTTGGGGAAAGTAATTTTTGGACTATAACTCCAAGAATCTTCCAATTAACAGGGCTATTGGCAATGCTAGTTAAGGATTCTGAGAACTATAGTACAAGTATACCATTTCCAAGCTTTGCTAATCAGTGCCGCCACCACCACCTCTTTTCTATCCTTGTTTGCACAGTTGCGTTTGCCACGGCTGTGCTTTATTTGGTCCTAGGTGTGAAGTTTGTTCACATACATTTGATGGGCTATCTTGGCTTGCCTTTTCCTCCCCAGCTCCAACCAGTGTTTTATTTTTGGCCCACACCCATTTGTTTACAAGTTGGCACAGGGATTCTCTCCGCATGTACAGAATACCTTTCCCTAAAGGTGAAATTAGTTTTGGGGTGTGTGTGTTTTTTTAAAGAGCAAAGGGCAACGTCCTGCTGTAGTGTGGGAAGAACCAAGTTCTCCTTTGACTACCAGGTGGCTAGCTAGGCATGTTTTGGGAAACTGGTGTCTGCCACCATCTCATCCTTATCCAGCTTGCTTAGACTCCACATGCATGGTGGAGACTAAATCAGAAATGGCCTGGGCTGGGAAGCATCTGGGAGTTACTGGACAGTGAAGGGTGGTCTTAAGATCTACTCTGGCTGCACAGCAGCTGGGAGATTTATGCACAGCATAGGGCCAGCCCAAGATGTTTTGCTGTTTGAGGCGCGGTACTTCCCTCTCATCCAATATCCACAGCCAGTCAAGTTATTTTGGCACAGAAGGCAGAAGATCCCACACAAACACCTTCTTGCCATCCCCAACAGTAAAAAGTACAATTGTAAATTTATTGTTGTTGTGTGCCTTCAAATCATTTCCAACTTATGGTGACCCTATCATGGGGGTTTCTTGACAAAATTGTTCAGAGGAGGTTTGCCATTGCCTTCCTCTGAGGCTGAGAGTGTATGACTTACCCAGGGTCACCCAGTGGGTTTCATGGCCAAGCTGGGAATCGAACCCTGGCCTTCAGAGTCGCAGTCCAACACTCAAACCACTACGTTATGATACCTTTTCAGGATACTCTAAATCTGCTGCCTAAGGCAACTGCATTACTCTGCCTCAGGAACAGGGGTCGGCACAGGGAGAGGGGGAATTCTCACCTCTGCAAATGCTCTGCAAACTGCACCAGCCTGCCTAGGTAGACAAGAAAGGATGTCACATCCCTTCTGGTCACCGATTTTGACCAATTTTTTACTATTTTTCTTAGTTTGGTGGGACCAGGTATTTCTGGGGTAGGTAAGATAAACCACTGCATTTGTGGTCAGTTTTGGACATCTTTTAGGTAAAATATTGCCTGAAAAAGAGCCTGCTTTCCAGATAAAAAAAGGGACTTAGGTGGTTCCAATGGGACTTGGAGGACTTGAAAAGAGGGTTTCAAGGCCACATATGGCTCAGAAGTGGCATTTTCCCCAGCCCTGTTCTACCTCATGGTGGCACGTATGTGCCTGCAAGTTGCTTGTTGACTTGTGGCATCCCAAGAATTATGTAGGGTTTTCTTAGACAAGGGATACTCAGAGGTGATTTTTTTTCTAGGTCCTTCCTTTTATATATAGCCTACAGCACCTGGTATTCGTTGATGGTCTCCCATTTAAGAACTAACCAGGACTGATCGTGCTTAACTTCTGAGATCAGACAGAATCTGCTGCCTTGAGAATATTTAGGCCTTAGGTACCAGTACCATTTTTGTGCCCATTGCCTAAATCTGTTTCTGTAATTCATGGGGTTAGGGTTAGGGTAATTCATGGAAATTCTCCAGGGACTGGCAGCTAGGGTTGCCATTTTGGAATTGTCCTAGGCTTTCCAGGCCAAAACCTTGAGGCATGGCCCTTGGTGATGCCATTAAAAATTATGCATTAAGTACCAGCCACAGTTGCTTACAGCTTTTAATTCAAACAAACATACAAACACACGGAACAATTTTTTCATATTTGAAAATTAAGACAGAAATCTTAAATAAAGGGGCTAAGTTTCCAGACTGAAGTGAAATGATGGAAATATTCCTTCTCACTCATTTAGGAAAATGGGCTAAGGAACCTTTAATCTAGTCCACTTGTTTCTAGCTAGAAAGTGGAAGCAGAGCAGAGCAGAGGGTGAGCCCTGGCACCACAGCAACTGGAAGGGAAGGAAAATGCGAACTAATAAGAAATCAACGCCCAATAGAATCTTTGCAAGTTGATGCAACAATTTAATTCCTTTTCAAATTATAGCAAGCTGCTGTTCTATTAGCTGAGCTGGAGATCTGTGTATAGCCCTTTCCTCTTGCCTGGAGTTGAGCTGACCAAAACTGGACCATTTGGACCTTCTTCTCTTGCCTACAGATAACCCATGAAGACTGGAAGCTCAGGACCAGAACTTGAGATCTGGTAACCCCACTGGCAGCTAATGGGTTGTACTGGTACCACTCCATGGACCACCATTTTGGATAGCACTGAGATCACTAATGGTAAGGCAGGATATAAAGACATTTTAACAGACATTTTTAAAAAATGCACACTTAAGAGTTAATGAATTCTGAGCCCAAGATTTGTTTTTAGTATCAAAACTGAATGGAGCACACAGCCTTTCCAAACAAAACTCCAAGCAAAATGTGATTTTTTTTTAAAGTTTGCAACACACATCACGTAGCCATGATTTGTGTGCATTACTGCTCCATCTATATCAAATGTGGAAACAGATTGGCACTGGTCTCCACACTGAGGCTGCCATCTCAGCAGTCCCGAAGGGCCCCTGTTTTGCAAAAATGCTGCGTTGTTGTTTTGTTGTGTTTTGTTTGGAAGAGGGCCCTGCAAGGAAGGCAAAGCCTGCGCTTGTCAGAGCTTTCTTTGCATTTCAGCCAAGTGAGAAGAGAAGGGAGTCACCCTACAGCTGAAAATACTCCCAGGAAAATAAACATTTTTCCAAGCGTCATAGTGTATTTTCTCATGCCCTGTGTCAGGGGCTGTTCTCACCTAAAGAAGAAAAGGGGGGAGGAGAGGGAGAGGCTTTTGTTTGGTGGTTAATTTAAAGAAGCCTTATTGCAATAAGTGATTACAGATGGGCTAGTTCTGACCATTTGCCTAATGTATAAACCCAACACAGCACATGAGACTATAGTTGCTAGGGTTAAGTAGAGCTCTAACAAATTAAGGGGACTTATTTCTGGCAGTCTCCAAACAATGCTTCCACCTGTTTTTCCCTTGCATTACCATCTGCTGCTCCTTTTCTACCTGCTTGTAACAGCAGCTTTCCCATGGAGTGGGCTTTAAGTTATGTCACCTCACATCTTGTCACTAAGGAAAACAATGGTGTGAGCTAACCTAGACAGATCGATCATTCGAGTATGGCGCTACATTACTTGCAGGCTGTTTTGCTGCAAGAGAAGCAACTGTTTTAGGAGTGCTTATGTGAAAAGTGATGGCTGATAATTGTGTGAAGAAGTAAAGGCACGACATTACCCATAGTAAATGTATCAAGTCTGAGAAAATTCACATTATAGTTTTGAGGAAGTTTACCCTTGCATGTGATGCACATTATAAAGATTATAAACATTTGATTGCATTTGTATACAATACTACATGCATTGGGTATTAAATAAACCTATTTTATCCAAGATTGCTCCAAATGTTTCAGGGCTACATAATTTGCTCTGGCAAAGCATTTATAAATGGCACAAGATGAAGGACAGATTATGTAGTTTCTTGCAGTTATGTTTTCTGCACATATTATAGTATCCGAACTTTTTACACTTATGATATAATAAAAATGTTTAGAAAATGGGCCATCTGCCACTGAGAAAGACCTGGCACTGGCCACAGGGAGTGCAGTAAAACTGCTTTAGCATGAACTTGGGGAAGCCAAAGGATCTTAAAATGGGGCCTTTTGGAGGAAAAGACATAGGGGTGTAGATAGAGGGGGCAAAATGAGAATGTTGCCCTTCCATAAGAATTTTGATTCCCCCATTAAATCTTCCTGCAATTCCAAACTTTACAGCATTGCAATAAGAAAACCAGCATTACCATAAAGTTTCCAAGACACAGCAAATATAAGAACATTATCACACCAGCTTGCTTTCTCTCCGCAACTGCTTTAGTGTAAGGAAACATATCTGTTTGGGAACATGCATTATCACACTTTTCTGTAATAGTGCAAAAGTGATCTGTGGTCCCATACACTCTCTTGCACATGGCCTCCATAACCCTGTCTTCCTGCCCTATGCCCTAAACAGTGTGCTTTTCACAATATTTTTATTTTTAATGCAATTATGGCAATGTGATGTAATTAAAAAAAAGAAAAATATAGGAAAAAAAACAATCTTCTTGGAAACAGTGAAGGGGTGAGGGGAAAAGAGGAGAATCATGCCCATTGATGCCACATGGTTGCTGGCATATCAGGACTGCAGTGGAAAGGACCCATCACACCTGTGGCCAAAAAAAAAAAGCAGTATTGGGAGCCATTGACAGATTTTCCCAACAATGAAAAGGTATGCTTTACCAAAACTTGAAATATAAAGCAGCAGTGATAAAGACACAACGCCATATGATATGTATGGTCAAAGACACTATTATCCAGCATTACTTTTGATTTAAAAGCCTTGTATGATAAACTTCTAAGAGGTCTAGGAATGAATGATTTGCAACATCTTATTATCTGCAATGCTAGAAATTTGAGGACTGAAATATAAATAAATGGTGGTGTCCTGGATTGCAGCCAACACACACAAACCTACGCCAATAAGGATGGCTCAGCAAGGTAATTAGCTATGCAGCTGGAAAGAATCCATAC